AGGTATACTATTCATATCTTCATATTTTGAAGATGAATTTTTTAATTTACAAAATGATCTTTTAAATTATAAGAAGTTTTTCTTTTATACCAAACAAATTATTTATTTATAATTTATCTAATTAATTTATAAATTTCATTTTTTTATTTTATCCAATCAAATTAAAATGCAATGATAACTTCTATTAAATAGAAAAACAACAAAATAGTCAATATAAAACTTAAAATACATAATTAATACCGATATTAATGATAAAATAAACATAACATAGCATAGAGTAACAACTTAATAATTTGGTATTGAGCTTCCGGATCTATTAAGATACTTAAAATATTGGTCAAATGTTTACTGTAGATAAAATTTGTTGAACTATTAGTTAACCATAAATAAATGGGGCAAAATTTTAAAATTTAGAAAGTAAAAGGCATTGTTAATAATTTATAATGAAATAAAAATAGAATATACTTAGAATATTTTTTTGAAGTAGAAAATGAAGGAAACCATTGGAAAATATTTGCTTCATTTCTTCCTTCAATTTTAAAGAAACTTCAATTTTGAAGACATATTTAAAGGTAACCATTGGAAATGCTATATGTAGTATGTACAATTTGAAATTAACCAACTATTTTCTATTGAAATTCATACTAGTTTTAGATTTTGAATACATCACATAAAAGTTTCAATGATATTAATGGTCTAACAAACTGTGAACTTTTTTGGTTGATTTATAGCTGATACACACATACGTTATCGAATTTAAATTCAAAAATAAACAGTAATACAAATCATTAGATTACATACTTAAAAAGATCTTCGAAAATCCTAAGTTTATGACCCTTTGAAACTAAACTAGCCCTTGTTAAGTTAAAGACAGCAATGTAATTTACTTTTTGTTTAAGTGTTTGTGTTTTTTGTATATGTCGGCATACGTGTATTTTACAGTAAAAAAAGTAATAAGAAAACTGTTTAAATCATAAAAAGATAATTAAATATATCAGAATAAAATATTACGATGACAATTAATTTGCTTCATTTACAAGCTTGTGGGTGTGATTGGTAACAAGCTGTTAGCTGTTAGCTGGAGCGGTTAGCTGGAGCTGTTAGCTGTTAGGGAATAGTGCAAAGCTGTACAAAAGAATAAAACACGAAAACTGTACAAAAAAATAACGCAGAACAAATTTTAAAAATTTATTCTGATTGGAAACATCATAGCGGTACACATAATAAATAATATTAAGAATTTAGAAAGAAAGAAAAAATTATATAGAAATATACTTAAGTATATAATTACATATGAAATTAAGATTATATAGAATGAACAATATTTTATTGTTAAAATAATAATATGAATTTACTAGTCCTATAATAAATAAAATTTTCTTTATTTTGAGCAATATAACATTTCAAAATAATTGTTTGAGAAAAAAACCATTATTTCTAATGAGATTTTTTCATAGGCTGTATCATTTACTTTTTCAGAAATCTTTATCTGAACATTCGAGATTTTTTTTGCATTATACATAGTTACAATTATATTTTATAAAGTTTAATTATGCGGCTAATCGTACTGTTAAATAACGGTTTTGATACGTTTCCAGTATATTAACGGTTACAGTTAGTATATTTTTTTTAACCGTAACTAATTTAGTTTTACGGTGAATGGTTATGGTTTTTAACCGTTTTATACAGTTACGGTTGAAAAACGGTCCAGTTACGATCCAAAATACGGTTATGGTTAGCTTTTGGTCATGCTTACTAGGCATGACCAAAAGCTAACCGTAACCGGACCGTTTCTCAACCGTAACCGTATAAAATGGTTAAAAACCGTAACCGTAAAAAATAATTAGTTACAGTTAAAATATATATTAACCGTAACCGTTAATTAACGGTAAACATATGAAAACCGTTATTTAACCATATGATTAACCGCATAGTTAAAACTTTAAAATATAATTGTAACTCCATATAATGCAAAAAAAATTATCGAATATTCAGATTAAGATTTTCAAAAAAGTAAATGATACTGCATATGAAAAAATCTACGTTATAAAAAATGGTCATTTTCTCAAACAAATATGTTATACTGTTATTTTGCTCGAAATGAAGAAAATTTGGTTTGTAACATATTTTTTGATTTTATGAAAAGTATTATAATAAGTTAGGTAACTCGTAAGATTTCGCCTCCGATATTAACCGTATTGTAGTCATCAAATAACTATAACCATAATTATCCGTAACCGTAACCGTATTTAACCGTAACCGTTATAACCGTATTTAACCGTAACCGTTATAACCGTATTTAATCGTAACCGTATTTAACCGTAACCATATTAATTTATTTTTGTTTTTGTCCAAAAAAACAGTTTTTTTTTTTTTTATAGTGTACCGCTTTTCATAAAGATTTTGTAATTGGTAACTGTCAAAGCTGTGCAAAGCTGTACAAACAAACAAAGTTCTCTATGCCAACCACTCCACTACATTTGTGAGTAGAGCTTGCTTGATCAATACAAACAACAAAAAGATGAATATATAATTATATATTATACTACATCATAAAATACAAGTCACAAAAGCACATGTTTGGAATACATTATTGTTATTTATTATTATGAACTTGAATAGTTTCATTCTTTTTGACGGCAAATAGTATCATTCATTTTCTTTAATGGTTCCAGGTAAGTTGCAAAAGAAGTAAGCAATATTCATATATTCCCACTTATTGAGCACAATTTTTGTATCATTTTCTCGCATAGACATTAATAAAAGATATATACACAAGATTACGACAAAAATAAAATAATATATGTACACAAGACATTTTCAAAGATGGTTTTCAAGCTCGTAGTTTCTACTAGAGATTCACTTGTATTCTTTCATTTAATTAATTTTGAGTTGTTTTCTTCTAAAACATTGTACAAAAACTCTCCTTTGTTGATTAATAAAATTCATATTTCAATAAAAATGGAGTAATTTTTTGTTTTTAACGCAACAATGGAGTAGTTAAAATAATTATAGAAATGGCACTGGTTGGGAATGAGTTGTGAGCCACGAGATTGATGTTACCACCAACGTGTACGGTGTGGATCTACTGCATATGTGCAAAATGTTTTCCATGATTTCTCATAATGGTTTCTCTATGAGTTTATATATCAGTAACTAGAATCCCCTTACCCAAAATAAAATTCATATGGAAATTGTAAAAAATAGATCCTGTAAAAAAATTTGTATGTGATATGGAGAATAAAATAGAATAAGTTAACTGAAACAACTTTTAAAAGTGGTAGTTAAATTAGGCCAAAACCTTTTTTTTTTGGGGTCAACAATTAGGCCAATTATTTGAAACATAAATTGAGACATAATAACTATAACAAAAATTGTTAGAAAAAAATCATACACACATTGAAAAGCTGAATTTTATCAATCACATGATTGAAGGAACTCTGGGTTCCACATTCAGTAAAACTAGATGGTGTACCCGCGCGTTGCGCGGGATTTAGTTTTAAACTTTTATTCTTTGTGTATAAATATAATCAATTGAATTTTAAAAGATTTTACTTTACTCATGTGCATTATATTTCCAAAGTAGTAAAAAAAAATTCACTATAATTTTTCTCGTTATCTTCTATGATTCACTCGTCGTCCCCGATATCTACTCTCTTTTCTCCTTAGATCGTTTCTATTTTTTTCTTCATATCATTCAATACTCTTTTTTTTATATAAGTTTCATGATCTTTTTATTAAAGTGAACATCAGAAACAGAAATTTGAGGAAATGTTTGTAATAAGTTTTTTTTTTACCATCTTTTTGCATCTAAAATTGATTTATAGAAAACAAATCTCAGATATGGACTCATTGTTATTCACAAACATATGATTTCAATGTGAAATTTTGCACTTTCTACATATATAATTTAACGTATATTATAATTCAAGATAGTATCTTAATGTTAATTTTTCTAAAATGTGACACTTACAAACTCATAAAAATTATTCTAATTTTAAAATACATTTATTTAAAAAAAAAACGAAATCCTTCTTATTTGTAATGAAAAAATCTTCAATCTACCATTAATATTTTAATTTCCAAATAGCATTCTCAAATATTCTTATTACACAGTTTTATTATTCGATAATATTATTTTATTTTTATTTGTGATGTTTAGGATAGTTTTTTTGTTTTATTTCAAATCACCTTAGTTTTGTTCAATCTATGTTAATTTCCTAAGTACTGATTAATATTTAAATTTTCTTTTTTAGGTATTCATTAAAAAAAACAAAGCACCATTAATAATGTAGAAAATATATTAATTTAAATATTTATATTATATTATACTTATAAATAATAATATGTTCTAATTCCTTCTTATTTTTTAATCGGTAATCAAATTTTATATGTTTATTTTTCAGAAATGAATTGCTTTCTATTTTAAGTAAAAACCATTAAATTTGGTAAATTTTTAACTCTTATTTTCTTTACTCTACTAAATAATTGTAACTCTAAAAAATAAATTTTTTACCATTAAAATATATGATACGTTTCTTTTTTCGTATCTCTAACTATTTTAAAATATTTACTCATTATATGTTAAAATATAATTATCTATGTATATTTATCCAATTTTTATTCAAAATTTTCATATTTTAAGTTGTATATTTGATTTTCCGTTTTTTTCATAATATTTCATTTATTTTTTGTCAATTATTGTTTTTATTTAATGTGTGAATTAGTTTTAGTTTTAATGTTTATTGCTTTAATAAACAAAATATGTGGAGCCCACAAAAAATAAATTATGATGACATGAATATTGATGTGGACACCTAGATGGAGAGACAACTCTCTCATTATATATATAGATTTTAAAGATAAAAAGTAACTTCTGAAACACGTACAAGTCCCTCTTTTTAATTGGGCTTAGTTTATTAACCCATGGGCTTTAAAAACCCGGTACGAGAACCGTTTGGAACCGGGAATTGATTTAAACGGTTCAACAAAACAAAAAGGTCAAAACCCAAAACGTACCTTCTTCTTCCACACTAGTTCCGATCAGAGAATCTCGAACAAAGAGATTGAAACTGAACTGTTTGAGATTTTCCGACAATAACTTATCTTTGTTCCTCATTGGATCTGTGAAACCTCGAAGAAGAACACAACGAAATCAATCCGAGGTAATAAACTGTTGTAGGAGCCAGGAGGAAGAGGGATGGGAGAGGTTTGGACATGGATTATTTCGTTTTTAATCCTTATCACTCTTGTCGGACTCATCGTCTATCAGGTTCGATCTGACTCGATACTTTGAACAAAAAAACCCTAAAAACTTATACTTTGGTTCCATCGAATCTTCTTACCTATTGAATTAGTATAAACTCTGTTTAGGCTTATCCGAGCACTGAATTGAACTAAATTTAGTGTTTTGTGTTCTTTCAATCATAAATCGTTTATAAGAAATGTTTTTGAGTTTTGGGATTATCTCTGTAATTCTGTATATAACTAGTTAATCTGTTAACCACAAATTCGTTTCTTAAATTCTTTAATTGGTTCTTGATATTGTGTATTGAAACTCTAGATGGTATCTTCTCAATTTATATCAATCCAACAAGTCTTTGTGAGTGTGTAGGAGTGTCTCATGTGTATTAGAGTTTTACTTCATAATGTTTCTTGATTAATCTGATTTGGTAACTATAGAGTTGATCTATAGTGTTTTGAGTAATGAGTTTATGTGTAATGATATTTTGTAGGAGAATCTTGATCATAGGTCTTTGCTCTTGTGCTTTGCTTCTGATATGCAGTACACGATATGCATAATTTGTAACGAAAGTGATGGTGCTTATCTATATAATTTTTGTTCTTGCAGCTCATTAGTTTGGCTGATCTCGAGTTTGATTATATCAACCCTTACGATTCTGCATCAAGAATAAACTTTGTGGTATTACCAGAATCCATTCTTCAAGGATTTTTATGCGTATTCTACCTCTTTACGGGTCATTGGTTCATGTCACTCCTTTGTGTTCCTTATCTCTACTACAATTTCCATCTGTGAGTCTCTCTATTTTTAACAAACAAGTTTAATTCTAATGTCAAGCTGATTCTGATAATGAGTATATCATTCTTTTCTATTGTTAGTTACTCGAGAAAACAACATTTGATAGACGTCACAGAGATCTTTAACTTGCTTGATTGGGAAAAGAAGAAACGACTCTTCAAGCTCGCTTACATTATCCTCACTCTCTTTCTCACCATTTTCTGGTAACTAAATCTCTTTCACTGTCTCTGCTCAATCCTAAATTTGTACCAAAACAGTGAAAACTTATGTTGCAACTTCTTTTCAGGTTAATCTATTCAACGCTGGATGATTACGAGGACTGAACCACGCTTGAAGATACATCCCTGTGACAGGCGACAACAAACGGTTTGATCAAACCTCTCTCTTACTACTTGACACTGCGCTTGATACAATGGCATGAGAAGGAAGGTGTTTGTTTCTGTATGTTAATTACTGGTTTTGTGGCATTAGAAATTTGTGTAAGCCAGATTTATAGTCATTAGAATTTCATTGTGGATCTTTGTGGTGAAGTAATTGGAACCCTCTAACTGATTCAGAAGGTTTACTTTTTTTTTTTTTTTTTTAATTTTAGCTGCAAAATTATTTATCAGTATATAAATAAATTGGTAAATTCTTCAATTGTGGTGAAGCCAGAAGGATTTTTCTTTATCAATCGTGGTGAGTTCTTTCTCTAGATTTTTGATTTTCCGAATCGAAATTTGTATGATATTTGAAGATCGTTGTTGGATTCTGAATCTCTCTTTAAAACCCTAAATAATGTTTTGACGACTGGAAAAGAAAACCCAAATCTCGATCACGCTTTTGATTTTTCTAAGTTTCGTGTGGAATCTGTGGAAAAACATGGATTTTTGGGTGAATTTAATGTGAATTTTGAAAGATTTTTACTCGTAATGAATCTTCTTTGCATATGTTCAATTGTTTCTTAAGTGGATTAAGAAGACTATAGCATTAGGGTTTATATAATAGAGTAAAAAAAAAGTGAATCGAAATCAGGATTAAGCACAATGTTAATTAGTAGTGTAAATTGTTGTTAATTTGAGCTATGATTAGTGTTAATTAGTTATCGGGCTTTGACTGAATTTTGAGAATTTGTGAGTGTTGTTCTGAATTTGATAAACATATGTTAACTGCAGATTTGATTACACTCTGGTTTCAGTTTCTCCTCTGCTTCAATGGTTAAACTCCATTGTTAGTTTGATCTATGATCAGTTTGTCGATAAAGCACACATAAACCGAGCTTTTGATTTGATTCCTATGGCTGAATTTCGAAATGTCTCGAGTCTTTTTTTGATAAAAAATGTTATGTGCAGTTTCAGGTTCTCTGCTTCAAGATTCAATGGTTAACTCAATCAAAGGAGTCTTCATCTCATGGTACATTACATAGCCTTTCTTGTTTATACTCTATCGAATTCGTATCTTTTATCCTATGTTGATGCCAAATCCTTTGGTGTTTTTTATTGCAGCGATGTTCCCATGGCACAGTTCATTGCACATTTGAATAATTCGTTGCCTGCTTCACAGAAGTTCATAATTCGAGTACTGAAACTGGACACTACTTGTATATTTGTGAAGCCACATGCTGAGGAGATGATCCGTAGTGCCTTCATCAATTTCAGGGATCAAAACTCTTACGCAAAGGCCAATTGAGCGGTTTTTTTTCTCGGTTTTCGGTTACTAGATGTCGATTTTTGATCTTAATATAATGTGAGATCAACAAGGATTTGTGGGAAATCTCTGATGGAGATAAACATGTTTGTTATAAAAAAAAAAAAATTCTATTGTTCTGACAAAACCGAATTGGTTTATTTTGACAACGCAACAAAACTTTACAAATTATATAGTATGAAAACTCAAACCGGCCGGTTATCTCAAAATAACATTAAAATGACTAAACCGGTTTCTCAGTCTGTCTGTGCCTCTGTCTGTGCCTTTTTTCTCTCAGTCTCAGACTCTCAGTGGTTCGTTTAGGGTTCGTCTGTTTCTGCTTCCGAATCAGAGAGATTGAGAAGAAACCAAATCGAGAAAATGAGGATATTGATTGCGATTGCATCTTCAGGGAAGAGATTTGTTCATCGGAGTCTTGTGGTGAGAGGTAATGCTGCAACTGTTTCTCCTTCATTTTCCCTTTGTTGGAGACGAGCTTTTGCTGGTAAGAGTAGTTATGATTATAGAGAGATACTTAGAAATGGGCTGAGTGATATTAGGTTAGACGATGCTGTTGATTTGTTCAGTGAAATGGTCAAGTCTCGTCCCTTTCCTTCCATCATTGAGTTCAGCAAATTGTTGAGTGCCATTGCTAAGATGAAGAAGTTCGATGTTGTCATCTCTCTCGGCGAGCAGATGCAAGATTTGGGGATTTCACATGATCTCTTTACTTACAGTATTTTCATTAACTGTTTTTGCCGACGCTCTCAACTCTCTCTTGCTTTAGCTGTTCTTGGCAAGATGATTAAACTCGGTTATGAGCCCGATCTAGTCACGCTTAACTCGATACTCCATGGATTCTGTCATACTAATAGGATTTCTGATGCCGTAGCTTTGGTTGATCAAATGGTGGAAATGGGATATCAACTTGATACAGTTACCTTTAACACTTTAATCCATGGACTTTTTCTTCACAACAAAGCTTCAGAAGCAGTGGCTTTAGTTGACCGAATGGTTGCGAAAGGGTGCCAACCAGATTTGGTTACATACGGTGCAGTTGTTAATGGAATCTGTAAAAGAGGTGATACTGATTTGGCTTTAAGTATTCTCAAAAAGATGGAGAAAGAAAAAATAGAGCCAGATGTTGTAATCTACAGCACAGTCATCGATGCTCTTTGCAAATACAAACATGTGAATGATGCACGCAACCTATTCAGTGAAATGGAGAACAAAGGAATCAAACCAGATGTTGTTACCTACAACTCCCTCATTAGTTGCCTTTGTAATTACGGAAGATGGAGCGATGCCTCCCGATTACTTAGTGATATGATTAAGAGGAAGATCAATCCAAATGTAGTCACTTTCAATGCATTGATTGATGCATTTGCGAAGGAGGGAAAACTTATAGAGGCTGAGAAATTGTACGAGGAGATGAGAAAAAGGTCTATAGATCCTGATATCTTCACTTACAGTTCTTTGATCAACGGGTTTTGTATGCACGATCGTCTAGACGAGGCCAAGCAGATGTTTGAGTTTATGGTTAGCAAGGGCTGTTTCCCAAATGTAGTGACTTATAATACGCTTATAAAGGGATTTTGTAAGGCTAAGAGAGTAGAGGAAGGTATGGAACTCTTCCGCGAGATGTCACAGAGAGGATTGGTTGGCGATACAGTCACTTACACCACTCTTATCCAGGGGTTATTTCAAGCTGGAGATTGTGATATGGCTCAAGAACTATTCAAAGAGATGGTTTCTGATGGTGTGCCTCCCAATCTCATGACATACAACTCTCTGTTAGATGGACTCTGTAATAATGGGAAGCTAGAGAAAACATTGGTGGTATTCGGGTATATGCAAAAGAGTAAAATGGAACTTGATAGTTTCACATATAATATTATGATTGAAGGGATGTGCAAGGCTGGGAAAGTGGAAGATGGGTGGAATTTATTTTGTAGCCTCAGCCTTAAAGGAGTGAAGCCTGATGTTGTAACCTACACTACAATGATCTCAGGATTCTGTAGGAAAGGCTTAATGCAGGAAGCATATGCCTTGTTCAGAAAAATGAAAGAAGACGGGATTCTCCCAAATGATTGTACATATAATACGCTGATCAGGGCTCAACTTAGAGATGGTGACAAAGCTACATCAGCGGAACTCATCAAAGAGATGAGGAGTTGCAGGTTTGCTGGAGATGCTTCAACCATTGGCTTGGTCACTAATATGTTGCATGACGGGAGATTGGACAAAAGCTTTTTGGAAATGCTTTCTTAAGACATCCTTGAGGTCGATCAGCTTTTCATGTTGCTTTTCTATTGGTTACTTCTAAATACAGTCATTAAGTGGATTTTGGTTTTTAGATTTTGGTTTCTGGATTATGGTTTTTAAATTTTTGGTTTTTGGTTTTTGTTATAAATATAAAAATTAATAAATGAAAAATTAAAAAAATCAAAAATGAAACATAATCACGTTGAAAAAAGAAGTTTTCCACAAAAACCTCAAAATTATGGTTTTTAGTTTCTCTTTGAAATTTAGAGAAACCACTTAAAAACTAGTTTCCCTAAATTATAGGGAATCTAATTTTTTAAAATCTTGAATGGTGAAAAATTAGATTTTTTCATAAATAAAAACCAAAAACCACTTAAAAACTAGTAACCATTCAAGGCTTTATTGCTGGAAGGAATCGAGGTTAAATTTTAAAATCGGAGATGAAGAAATTTTCTGATTTCTTTTCTTTTATGCTTAACCGGATCTAACATTTTGTTAAACCATCCTAAACCATACTTTATTCCGCTTCCAGTTTTAATTTAATTTGGGTTGGATAACAGTTTTGGTTTACTAAATAAACCGGACACGTAAGCTCTTCACGAACCACATCTGTTCCGTTAACAAAAATCCCCAAGTCCTCTTACGCTTCTTCTCCTCTCTCCATCTTCCATATTTGCAGAGCTCGAGATTCTTTCACAGTCTCAGTGTTTCGTTTAGGGTTTTGTTGAATTTTACAGAGAAATTGGGAAGCCAAATTGAGAGAATGCTTGCAAAGATATCATCTACAGGGAAGAGATTTGTTCATCGGAGTCTTCTGGTGAGAGGTAATGCTGCAACTTTTCCTCCCTCTTTTTCCCTTTGCCAGAGAAGAGCTTTTGATGGTAAGAGTAGTTATGATTACAGAGAGATACTCAGAAATGGGCTGAGTGATATTAGGTTAGACGATGCTGTTGATTTGTTCAGTGAAATGGTCAAGTCTCGTCCCTTTCCTTCCATCATTGAGTTCAGCAAATTGTTGAGTGCCATTGCTAAGATGAAGAAGTTCGATGTTGTCATCTCTCTCGGCGAGCGGATGCAAAATCTGGGGATTTCATATGATCTCTACTCATACAATATTTTGATCAACTGTTTCTGTCGACGCTCTCAAATCTCTCTTGCTTTAGCTGTTCTTGGGAAGATGATGAAACTCGGCTATGAGCCCAGCATTGTTACGCTTTCTTCGCTGCTCAATGGGTACTGCCACGGTAAGAGGATATCCGAGGCTGTAGCTTTGGTTGATCAAATGGTCGAAATGGGATATCAACCTAATACTGTTACATTTAACACGTTGATTCATGGGCTTTTTCTCCACAACAAAGCTTCAGAAGCAGTGGCGCTAGTTGATCGGATGGCTGTGAAAGGCTGTCAACCAAATCTGGTTACATATGGTGTTGTAGTAAATGGATTATGTAAGAGAGGTGATATTGATTTGGCTTTGAGTTTGTTGAAGAAGATGGAGAAAGGAAAAATAGAGCCAAATGTTGTAATCTACAACACAGTTATCGATGGTCTCTGCAAATACAAACATGTGAATGATGCACGCAACCTATTCAATGAAATGGAGAACAAAGGAATTAGACCAGATGTTGTTACCTACAGCTCCCTCATAAGTTGCCTTTGTAATTACGGAAGATGGAGTGATGCCTCTCGACTACTGAGTGATATGATTGAGAGGAAAATCAATCCAAATGTAGTCACTTTCAACGCATTGATCGATGCGTTTGTGAAGGAGGGGAAGCTTTTAGAGGCTGAGAAATTGTACAAGGAGATGATCAAAAGGTCTATAGATCCTGATATTGTCACTTACAATTCATTGATCAACGGGTTTTGTATGCACGATCGTCTAGACGAGGCCAAGCAGATGTTTGAGTTTATGGTTAGCAAGGGCTGTTTCCCAAATGTAGTGACTTATAATACGCTCATAAAGGGATTTTGTAAGGCTAAGAGAGTAGAGGAAGGTATGGAACTCTTCCACGAGATGTCACAGAGAGGATTGGTTGGCGATACAGTCACTTACAACACTCTTATCCAAGGGTTATTTCAAGCTGGAGATTGTGATATGGCTCAAGAAACTTTTAATCAAATGGATTCTTTTGGTGTCTCTCCTGATCTTTGGACTTATAACATTTTGTTAGATGGACTTTGTAATAACGGGAGGCTAGAGAAAGCATTGGTGGTATTCGAGTGTTTGCAGAAGAGTGTAATGGAACTTGACATATTCACATATAATATTATGATTGAAGGGATGTGCAAGGATGGGAAGGTGGAAGATGGGTGGGATCTATTTTGTAGCCTCAGCCTTAAAGGAGTGAAGCCTAATGTTGTAACATACAATACAATGATCTCAGGCTTGTGTAGGAAAGGTTTAAACCAGGAAGCTTATGCGTTGCTAAAAAAAATGAAAGAAGATGGGCCTCTTCCAGATAGTGGTACTTATAATACGCTTATTAGAGCGCATCTTAGAGATGGTGACAAAGCAGCATCATCTGAACTCATCAGAGAAATGAGGAGTTGCGAGTTTGCTGGAGATGCTTCAACCATTGGCTTGGTCGCTAATATGTTGCATGATGGGAGATTAGACAAAAGCTTTTTGGAAATGCTTTCTTAAAGACATCCTTGAGGTTGATAAGCCGTTTATGTTGCTTTTCTGGTAATTACTTTCTAGTGCGGTCCTTATATGTTCATGAATATGTTTGATTAATTTTCATATTGATAGTTTCTACTACACAAGAAAATATTATCTGAAAAGCAGAAAATTCACTTTGAAAATGATAATGTTTGTGAAAAAGAAGATGATAGGGTTCGCTAAATAAAACAGAATTGTATTGAAACACTCTATAGAATCGTGGCTTTTGTCTTTGGTTGTTGCCAAATCATTGTACATATGATTAATTTGTTGTGTTCTGCACTAAATTTCATAATTCATGTACTGGACGTGGACAGTACTTGTATGTTTGTGCAGCCAGACGCTAAGTTTAGGGAACAAAGCTCTTAGGTTTTTGCATAGTGGACATCAATTTTGAGAGATCAATAAGGATGTGTCGGTTTAGTGTGTATGATGATAGGAAGTGCATCCTTCTCTACCGATTCTTGGCCGGTACGGTTCTGGTTTATAATAAGATGAGGTTCAGTGGTGATATGATATGCGATGTTTTACAACTCTTTTCATCTTTCGTGAGAAGAAAAAGGAAATGTTAACTCCTAAAAATGTTCATAGTCAGTCTGTATTCTTGGTTAAATGTTTTTTTTTCTCCGTATTCTTGGTTTTTGCATACAGTAGAATTAGTAGCTGCAGTGTGAAACCAAAAATTATAAAACTAAACCGAACCAGAGAATACGGAGTGACCGGTCGGCTATTGAAACCGGAAATGATTAGGTGAAAATCTCAACCGTCAAATACAAAAAAATGATCCAACGGCACTGAAAATTTGCATCTTCTTCTGTTCTTCAAAGTTCAAAGTTTTTAAACATTACTAGACCAAGACCAAGATCTGCGCTATGCCGCGGAGTATTTTTTTGAAATACACATTTCTAATAGAAATATTATTGGTAGAAATTTTAAAGGTTTCTAGAATTTAGTTTTTTTCTTTTTCAGATTTTAGTAATTTTTATTTTACTATTCAACTATATATACATACATTAATAAATACATGTTATATATTGCTTCTTCAAAATAAATGTATGGAGACTGGGCTATCTCCTACTCCGTTATTTCGAGGTAACAAAGACCTCGATGCTGCTTAACTTCCATGCTAAAAGTTCTCAATTTATACGGTACAAGTTAATCAAATCCCAATATAAAAGAGATTGGAAACGTTTATTAGAAAATTTCTAGTCTCCATATCACATTATTTGCTCATATGATCATTCAGATCACTTGATAGATGATTTCACTGATTAGATATTAGTGGAGTGTGACCTGACCTATATAATGTGGAGTGTTCTGAATTCGATCCATATTTTTTTCCCCTCCAAACGGAAAATGAACAAAACAATTAATCCCTCAAAAAAAAAATGGAGAGCAAAAAAATTAGCCATATTTGTGGTGATGATGACTATTGGAAACCTTATAGATAAATCAAAAGTTTCATGGTTGGAAGTGTGCAGAGTAAAAGTTTACTCTGATTTATGTTTTTCACTTTCCTCTACTTCACTCTTAACAATATTACGCTAAAAAACTAACAATCACACCTAGAGATTGGTACTTATATATAAGTGAGAGAACGACAACAAATGACACAACAATGACTTTGGAGACATGTTTTGACCAAAATAAATAGAAAGGATAGGTTTTGTTTTGATTTGACAAAATAATACAGTATTTACTGTGCCAAGATTAAAGATTGTTTTTCTTTCTTATCCTCACCTAAATATGAAAGTCAGGGATTTTAGTAACCAAAAACCTAAAATCTATAGATGATATAATTATCAACCAAAAAAAAAGAGAAATTATCCACGAAGGAAATAGAAAAAAAAACAAACCGGATCTAACACACTTTTAAGCTTAACCGTATCTAACATTTTGTTAAATCAACCTAAACCATACTTTATTCCGGTTCCAATTTTAATTTGGGTTGGATAAACAGTATTGGTTAATTAAATCAGCCGGACACGTAATTAAAAAAAATCCCCAAGTCCTCCTCCTACGCTTCTTCTTCTCTCTTCATCTTCCATATTTGCAGAGCTCGAGATTCTTTCACAGTCTCAGTGTTTCGTTTAGGGTTTTGTTGAATTTTACAGAGAAATTGGGAAGCCAAATCGAGAGAATGCTTGCAAAGATATCATCTACAGGGAAGAGATTTGTTCATCGGAGTCTTCTGGTGAGAGGAAATGCTGCAACTTTTCCTCCCTCTTTTTCCCTTTGCCAGAGAAGAGCTTTTGATGGTAAGAGTAGTTATGATTACAGAGAGATACTCAGAAATGGGCTGAGTGATATTAGGTTAGACGATGCTGTTGATTTGTTCAGTGAAATGGTCAAGTCTCGTCCCTTTCCTTCCATCATTGAGTTCAGCAAATTGTTGAGTGCCATTGCTAAGATGAAGAAGTTCGATGTTGTCATCTCTCTCGGCGAGCAGATGCAAGATTTGGGGATTTCACATGATCTCTTTACATACAGCATTTTCGTTAACTGTTTCTGTCGATGCTCTCAACTCTCTCTTGCTTTAGCTGTTCTTGGGAAGATGATGAAACTCGGCTATGAGCCCAGCATTGTTACGCTTTCTTCGCTGCTCAATGGGTACTGCCACGGTAAGAGGATATCCGAGGCTGTAGCTTTGGTTGATCAAATGGTCGAAATGGGATATCAACCTAATACCGTTACATTTACAACTTTGATTCATGGGCTTTTTCTCCACAACAAAGCTTCCGAAGCTGTGGCTTTAGTTGAACGGATGGCTCTGAAAGGATGTCAACCAGATTTGGTTACTTATGGTGTGGTAGTTAATGGATTATGTAAGAGAGGTGATATTGATTTGGCTTTGAGTTTGTTGAAGAAGATGGAGAAAGGAAAAATAGAGCCAAATGTTGTAATCTACAACACAGTTATCGATGGTCTCTGCAAATACAAACATGTGAATGATGCACGCAACCTATTCAATGAAATGGAGAACAAAGGAATTAGACCAGATGTTGTTACCTACAGCTCCCTCATAAGTTGCCTTTGTAATTACGGAAGATGGAGTGATGCCTCTCGACTCCTAAGTGATATGATTGAGAAGAAAATCAACCCCGATGTAGTCACCTTCAGCACATTGATCGATGCGTTTGCGAAAGAGGGGAAGCCTTTAGAGGCTGAAAACTTGTACAAGGAGATGATCAGAAGGTCGATAGCTCCTAGTATTGTCACTTACAATTCATTGATCAACGGGTTTTGTATGCACGATCGTCTAGACGAGGCCAAGCAGATGTTTGAGTTTATGGTTACCAAGGGCTGTTTCCCAGATGTAGTGACTTATAATACACTTATAAAGGGATTTTGTAAGGCTAAGAGAGTAGAGGAAGGTATGGAACTCTTCCGTGAGATGTCACTGAGAGGATTGGTTGGCGATACAGTCACTTACACCACTCTTATCCAGGGGTTATTTCAAGCTGGAGATTGTGATATGGCTCAAGAACTATTCAAAGTGATGGTTTCTGATGGTGTGCCTCCCAATCTCATGACATACAACTCTCTGTTAGATGGACTCTGTAATAATGGGAAGCTAGAGAAAGCATTGGTGGTATTCGGGTATATGCAAAAGAGTAAAATGGAACTTGATAGTTTCACATATAATATTATGATTGAAGGGATGTGCAAGACTGGGAAAGTGGAAGATGGGTGGAATTTATTTTGTAGCCTCAGCCTTAAAGGAGTGAAGCCTGATGTTGTAACCTACACTACAATGATCTCAGGATTCTGTAGGAAAGGCTTAATGCAGGAAGCATATGCCTTGTTCAGAAAAATGAAAGAAGACGGGATTCTCCCAAATGATTGTACATATAATACGCTGATCAGGGCTCAACTTAGAGATGGTGACAAAGCGATGAGGAGTTGCAGGTTTGCTGGAGATGCTTCAACCATTGGCTTGGTCACTAATATGTTGCATGACGGGAGATTGGACAAAAGCTTTTTGGAAATGCTTTCTTAAGACATCCTTGAGGTCGATCAGCTTTTCATGTTGCTTTTCTATTGGTTTTTTCTAAATACAGTCATTATGTTCTCATATTACATGTGGATATAGATATGTATAGCTGTAGCTGTTGTGTCTAAACTTCATGAACATGACTGAAGTTCTTTGTCATTTACCTGCTAGGTTGCAAACATGAGTTGATGCAAGTTCAAGGTTGTTTCCCGGGATTTGTATGTTTCACTAATCTCTTCCATATGTTTTTGTTTCCTATGTTCGTTGGATTCTGAATTTCTTCGCCCTGAGTTTATCTCTCTCACCTCTCCTGATCATATTTTTTTCCTTCTTTCTGCCTTGAATTTGCTGGTATAGTTTTGCTACTGAGATTTCCGAATCTCGTGTAATCTGTGTATGAATTTTCTTTTTATCTACAAAGCTTTCCACTTGTGTACGATATCTTTGTCGCATTTGGTTACACAACATTTTCATGTAGTATACTGTTGGTGGTCTTGTAGCATATTCAAAAGATGTCTGAGAAAATACAGTTACATTATCATGGATCCTGTCTTTTGTTTAGTGAAGTGGATTAAGGGAATATATGATTATTGAGCTCTGTCAACAGCGTGAATCGAAATCACGGTTAAATGAAGAATGTTTTGCACATTCAAACTTTCTTCTTCATTTCTGAAATTAGGGGTTTTTTTTCAGTGTAAAAAAATCCCAAAGGAGAAAGTTAGTTTGAATGTGCAAAACATATTTTTTGTTCACGATTTCACTTAAGCCGCGCAGCTAAATAGATGTTATGAGAAGATAACGAAATGAAAATTATCTTAAACCGAATTGAAGATGAAAACGGGAAGAAACACCTTTTAACCGGTGTTGCTCGAGTCATATACACATACTAGTATTAAGCCCGTACTACGTACGGGACAAAATTAATTTAATAAATATATATATTTCTTTTTTTTTGAAAAAGTTAGTGTGATTGTTGGTTAATTAAAATGAGAGTAAAGAGTTAGAAGGAGAACACAAATAAAATGGAAGAAGAAAATATAAAATATATACAAAAAAAATTTCAAGATACAATCATACATATAAAAGTAAGGTTTCACTCTCTTCTTATTGGTCCACTTGGCAATGTAATTTTTTTAAAAGTTATTTTCAATTAAACCACAAATAAAAAAATTAATATATACATTTAACTCACTTCAATATAAAACTGAAATCATATAAATTATACATTAACTATATTTTTTAATTAATTTTATTAAACACACAATCAATTAGAATAATTAATTTTATTCAACACACAATCAATTAGAATTGTAACCCCCATATTCATTTTTTACACTCTCTTCTTATTGGTCCACTTGACGATGTAATTTTTTAAAAAGTTATTTTCAATTAAACCACAAAAAAATTAATATATACGTTTAACTCACTTCAATATAAAACTGAAATCATATAAATTATGCATTACCTATATTTTTTAATTAATTTTATTCAACACACAATCAATTAGAATAATTAATTTTATTCAACACACAATCAATTAGAATTGTAACCCTCATATTCATTTTTTAAATTGTAACTCCCATCACTTCTCATCCTATAAATATTCATTTTCCCATTTTCTCATTCTCTCATTCTCTCATCCTCTTCCACTAGATCTCAAATCTTTTTTTCATTATTGTTTGTGTGTGTTTTTTTTTTTGTTGTGGTTGTTGTTGCATGGGTTAAAAACTCAAATTAAATATCATTGTAAAAGCTTAATTCTAAATTTTAATATTTACATTAGTTTTTTTAACTTTTTTTTAAAGATTCATCTTCATTGTCTATTTTAGATTATCATCTTATAAGTAATTATTCTCTCATCCTCTTCTACTATATTCATGTATCTATTTTGTTTTGTTATATGGGTTGAAATCAATGAAAACATCATTGTAAGAATTTGATTCTATCTTTTTTTTTCTTTTTTTTTTCATAACACCATACTAGATTATACATATTTCTTCTTTAATTTTCATATTTTTAATTTTAAATTAACATATATAAAATAAAAAATTTGATGGCTATAGCAAAAATTTCAGGTTCATTGGTGATGAAAAGTTAAAAATATCAATTCTAATTATCGCACAACAAGGGAATGAAGTTGAAAAGATTCATCTCCGTTATTTACTTTAGATATTTGATTATTTTCTAACATATTCATGTATTGTTTTTAGTTATGCAATATATAATGAAATAAATTATTCTAATACATTTATCAAATATTCGTTTCTTACTTTTTTTTATCTTGAATAAATTTTTGTAATTCATTTTTAATGTATGTATAATTATATTTAGTTTTTTGTGATCCAATGGATAATTATATTAATATTATTATACTTAAAATAGAGTGAAATAAAAATATATATATATATATATATATATATATATATAATTAAAACAAAAAAACGTTTTATTAAATCCTATAAACATGAAACCATTAGTATAAAATCTAGCACAGAATTTTAATTGATGAGTGGAATTACAAAAAAAAAATAGATTAAAAAAAAAAACTTCTATACTTGGGTTTTTTTAAATAAAATCTTTAGATTGAAGTTCATATGATTTTATATGAAAATAAATTTAGCTTGTCACTTACAAAATAATATGAATTTAAACTATTGTGTGGGAGTTTATATCAATAAACAAACAAATTATCTGTGAGTTATATCAACAATTTATTTTGTATTATATAACATGTATTTACTAAAATATGAGCAAATGCAAGATATCAAATCGTAAGAACCTTTTAAATTTGTTCTAATTATACTTATATTGAAACAAAATTATGGAAATTATTTTAAATATATCTTTGAAATGATAGCATTCTTATTCCCTACTATGATTTTTGATTATTTCTTTACATATTCATGTATATATTTTCTAAAATTATGTGACCTTTTAATGAAATAAATTGTGTATGAAGAAACCTCTTTTTCTTACGTTTATTGTAATATAATCATAGTAATTATATTTAGTTTTGTGATCTAACATATAATTTTATAAATATCAGTATATATATTTTTAAAATGTTGTAGTTAAAAACAGTTATATAATTGGTAATCCGAATTAGTAGTAAAAAAAATTAAAAACCTATTACTATAACTTAAATGGTGTGAAATATGAAAAAGAGAGAAAGTTATCTTTTAGGATTGTTGTTAAAAATGTAAAATATATGTGATACCAATGTTTTTATTGAAAATACTGTATAATATGTAATTTTGTCTTATTTTTATATTTTCTAAAATTTTTTTTATTGTTTACACAAAACATAAGAATTATGCAACAAGCCGCGAGTATCGCGGCTAAACAACCTAGTTTTCAATAATAAATAGCTTTTCAACATTGATAAACCTTATAACTTGAATTATACAGAATATCTAAAAATTATGTCATACCAAACATTAATGGCAAATTGTTTTATACCCGTACGTAGAATCACTTAAATACTAAACTAAAAAAGAGTTAACATTTTCAGTTTAACATATACTAACGCTAATTGATAACGCAACAAAAAAAATACTTCTAGTTTGCAACGTACAATGAACAAATGTTTTCCCAATCATGACTTTGACATTAATGTATTCAAATAATACAAAATGTGTGTGAGAAGAAATATATCTTAAACTTAGCTTACTCGTTAGCAAAAAAAAAAAAAAAAAAAAAAAAAAAAAAACTTTAGCTTACTCAATATCCGAAAGACCCCGCACAACGTAAAACAACAAAAACTCTTAAACTCCATCTTTGATGAAAAACTCTGGTTTGTGAATTTTTAATGCGTTGAAATTGTTCTCGACAACCTATAGAAAATCAAACAGAATATTACTTTGATAGCAGAATAAAAGCAAAGATTGAATGTAAATTGTTTCAAACAAACGTAGAAACTTACAGAGGAGCTTATATGGTTGGAGGCGATAGACAATATGCAGTAAGAATCACAGATATATATATATATATATATATATATATTTTTTTTGTAGAATGAGGGAGACTAGTCTTCCATATTATTAAAAATTAAAAGGAAAAAATTACATCGGAACGTTTCGTGTGCGTGTAGCACCACTAGCATCCTCAAAAATAATCAAAGTAGCAAAATCAGGCCTAAGATTAAAACTATGAAAACCTAACGGCAAAGAAAATGCATAGTTAGCTAATTCGTCGGCAAGACGATTAGCTTCCCTATACACGTGAGAGATCCAGACAATCCAGTCCTTCGAAATGAAGCCATAGCACAATCACAGATATTTTATAATGACTATATAAGAGGAAGATTAAAAAAAGGGAGATTGACACAAATAGCCCCAAAAAAGTTGTTTTTTTTCCAAAAATAGCACCTCATTTGAAAAGTTTCACAAATAGCACCATAAACTTCAATTAAACTTAATGAAAATATAAGATATAAAAGAAAAAAGAGAGCAAACACTAATCTAATATTAAATTGAATCAAAATTGTTTTTAAATAGTGGAAATATATACCCTAATTTGGAAATAGGGAACCCAAATATAATACCACAAACTAATATTAAAAGAAAAAAATCTCTTTTAAATGTTGGAAATATATACCCTAAATTGGAAATAGGGAACCCAAATATAATACCATAAACTAATATTAAAATGAATCAAAATCTCTTTTAAATGATGGAAATATATACCCTAAATTGGAAATTAGAACCCAAATATAATATTTTAAATTTATTTCTAATTTATTTTGTTGAATAGCTTTTATATAAAAATTGTGGTATTATTAAAAAATAAACTAGTGATAAAATTTTTAGAACAAAAACACTAATAGTAAGCTAACTAGTGCTATTTTTGGAAGTTTATGGAGTGTGTGCTATTATTGTCAATAAAACTTGTTTTAGGGCTATTTTTAGGAATTTTTCTTAAAAAAATTACATTGAATGAGAACAAAAGGATGATGGCGTTCCTATGCCTTCTTTCAAATTTCGGTGAAACGACAACATGAGAAAATTATTTTAAATAAGAGCAGATATCTACTGACAAATGCTATATATAGGAGATGAGATTGGTTAATGGAGGAAGAAAACCGTGGAGAAATTAAAGTGGTTAGTTTCATAGAGTGAAAAGATCATGGAAATGTGGGGAAATGGATAGTTGGAACATGGAAGAAACTGAATGA